TACCATAACTGTTTAGCACACGTTTGGTCAAAGGATGGGCTTCACTTGTCTCTTTGATGAGTTGTAATATAGTGCTACGAATGGCGAGACTCACTAACGATGCCGACTACGATGTCGGTGAAACGTCTGTGAATGTATCACATCCACGGTCCGACTTTGGAAATAAGGTGCGTCTTCCTACCATTATGACCAAGTTGCCAAAACAAGGTCAAACAACTTATATACCACGAAAGGAGACTGCGACCACACAAAAGGCCACACCATCTTGGTCTTCATACCTTCGATGAAATATCAACTTCTAGTCTCGTCAAGATGTGAATCCAAACACGACGCTTACTCGTCACGAGTTGGGTTACAGAGGCCATTAGGTTCTTTGGATTCAGCCGATTGCGACCTCTCCTTCAGCGAATCAGCGAGCCAAGTCTTCGCAGTCAAGTCCGGATCCGGCACAGGAAGTATCGAGAGGCGAACCGAGGAGAGAAAGCTTCGCGTAGCCAGATCAGCCTCCTCATTCTCCAAGAGTCAATCCAGCCTTTCCTCCATCTCCTTCGTATCGTAGACACTTTCATAGTTCGGCCCGTCTTCTGTACTGATAGACACGGAGGCAGAGACGCCTTCTGTGCTAGTAACTGGCGGTGCATCCTTTGGCTCGTGAGAGGTCTGGCTATAAACAGATGAGTAATTGGCCAGACAACAGAGCTCTATGGCAAATTGGGCTCTGAGAGTAAGCAAAACGGACAGCATCCTGAATGAGATAAATGAGTATAGGAATAGGATTATGAAGCTGGCGGCACTACATAAGCAAGAGGAGAGGATGTTATGGTCCCCAAGTCCGATTAGGACCCACATCTCACAAGACTCTGGTATTGAGGGTATACAATTACGTAACAATTGTCATAGATACAAGCATCAACATGGCTGGATCAAAATGCAAATTATTTGGGTTAGAAAATAGCTGTTTGGTCACACTCGCGTCATATTCACACCTCAAAAGGCACATAGAAAAAGCAGCACATGACCAGTCAAATTTTTAGAGGCAAAAGGGAGCAGTGAGAACAAGATCGTCTTTTTTGTAATCTTGTTCGGTGAGACTGTTACAAAGAATGCTTACTTCCTTTGACGGTATCCGTCAATATTGGACAGAAGAAAACTGAACTCTAATTCATCGGAGTCGTGGAAAGCTCAAATCATCATCCATAACACCAAGACGATTTTCCCTCGGTTTCTGGCTTGGACAATTTGCCAACTTCAATCACCCGCCAGTTAAAATGAACTGAACTATTGCAAAAACATGGATTTATTAAGCAACCCTTCAAATTAAGGCTTTCCTTCGGTTATGCGCACAACAATGTTTAACGCAATTCATTTTTCATGCACATGCAACAGCATTTTTCCAAAGGTGATATACTTGAAATTGTACTATCCCACTCTATTTTTCCCCATCTCCAATAGAACTAGTTAATCATGTAAACAATTGCTACCGATTCATCGAATAGTGAACTGATAGCGAACGGTTGATAAGCCCCTTACTGCTTATCTAACCTACGGCACCAGCCGAAGGCAATTCGTGCAAATCTCTGTACTCTTTGGAGAGTGCCAGTCAAATGGTAGAAGGTTCCTATTG